AAAATTATATATATATATATATATATATATATATATATATATATATATATATATATATATATATATATATATATATATATATATAAAATCTTTGTATCTGTACATATTGTCATCTTCCTAAGATAATGGCCTACATCATTGAGGCCATTATTTTACAAATCTGAAGATAACATTTGATGGGGGTAAAAAGGACATTTAGTTTTTATTTGAGGATTTTTTTTTTAGCCTTTACACTTTTGCTACAACATATTAGCATAATCTTGGCTGTCAATTAAAAACAGTGGGCAAAAAAACATCCATCTATTATTCAATACACATAACCTTAACCTAATATGTTTTTGTAAAATCGCCTAAAATCGCAAATAAAGTTTGTTTCTTAACAAAAAACAAAAAAACTTTTGACTTTTGTTTTAAGCTTACGAGTTTTCCCAGTATCTTTGAAAGTCTCATCGTGTGGTTCTGGTGGCCCAGACAGATGGGGGCGAATGGCGGGTTTTGCTCATCTTAATGTTTAGGCAGAAACGAAACTGAAAGCACAACAAGCCGTTAGGCAGCGTCACGTTAAGAAATAACGTTTTATTGTTCGAGCGGAAACAGCAAAGAGAGAAAGTTTGAGGTAAGAATTTTATAATATTTCTGAAAATTGCGTCATTTTTGAAGCTGTTTAATGAACCCAGCATATGCAGACAGCAGGTTATCAGTCAAGCTTGACTGGAACTTTATCTTGCGTTTCAATTTTAACATTAACTCTGCGTTTGTGTGTGTGTGCGTGTGTGTGTGTGTGTGTGCGTGTGTGTATGTAGAGTGTGTGGTGTGTGTGTGACTGTGTGTGTTTTACTCCAAGTTGATTAATACGCAGCATTATCTATTTCTTTTTTAATATTTGCTCATTAAAGCGTGAACCCGTTATCGACTATCAGGAGGACTTGTACAGGAAGTCAGTGTTTCTGCTTTGCAGACTTGTACAACAGAAATGTGGTCGTTGAAGGGATTTTCACTTAATTTTCCTCAAATAATTCACAAGCAATTTTTATGTGGGAAGAGGCAGATAATGGGATCATTAACTTTACATTTATAAATTGCCCTATAAAGGAATTGATGCTCTGTAAATCCAACTACCTCGGACTGGGCAGCCATTATGCTTTTCTTTGTTCTTCATTTCCCTTTTCTGCAACACTTATGGTGATCTCAGGTGAACACTGTACAATTTCTTCTTCCTCTTTTTTTATTTTTACTTCAAACTCACTGGATCATGATGTGTGTTTACTACTGGTAGCACAACTGGTTTTTACTTAGTTCTCTTTATGTTGCCACCTGCTTTGGTAATTTAGATGTGGTATATACTTTTCATGTTAGTCCAATATAGTTGACCAATATATCATGTCATTAGAATATACATATCAAGTTATTCATACAAATTCATCTATTTTGTATGAATGTGATCATTTTTATGGCAATCGGCAAATTGATATTACAATCTGTTTTGTTAGAACATAAAACATTACACTTTCAGAAATGCCATCAATTATAAATATTAAAAAGGTTTGTCAAAGGACTCAAGAAGCCACATTAATTTAGGGCAATATTTGACCATCCCTGTCTTTTCTTAGTCTGGCCATTTCCTTCCTAATCAACGCCACTAGATTCTCACCTCCCTTAAATGCTTTGTCTGGACTTTCTCCCATTGAAGTGGATTTCTTTGGTAGATTTTCTACTGAGCCAATCAGCGAACAGAAAGACAAGTAGTGAATGATGATGTTGAT